AATTGCTTCGATGTTAAAAAAACACAACACCGCTTTAAACTTTACATGTGTCGAGTTACGTACACTTGACCAACATGAAGGGTTTCCGGAAGCAATGGCAGATCCCGAAGGGTTAGTTTGGCAGGTATAGACAAGATATCTGTTGCTGATGTGGACATATGATGTGGCAGAACTGATTCTACTTGTTTTTTTTTTTAGGTATTGAATGCTGCATGGGATGCTGATATACCAGTTGCAAGTGAGAATGCTCTTCCTTGTTATGATAGACAAGGCTACAACAAGATACTTGAACATGCAAAACCCAGAGATGATCCTGATGGTAGACATTTATCTGCTTTTACCTATCTCAGACTTAATCAATCTCTCCTTGAAGAACACAATTTAAGGGAATTTCAACTGTTTATCAACAGAATGCATGGTAATATATCTTTTTCCCTCCCTTAAATCAATGTGTTATTGCAATTTTCACTTACTGATTTTGTTTCATTAAAACAGGTGAAGTCGTGGAGTATCTTTAATTAGCATCTAATCCAACTTGTTTTCTCATTTTCTCGACTTATGTTACACGTTTTGTGTTCGGTGTGACTTGTAAACTACAAATTTTATGGTATAAGATATAAGTTGTTGAATTATTGTTTTTAATCCATCAAATTACTTCTTTGAAAAATGATATAGTCCGATAGTGTCCATTATTGGTAAATACCAAGTAAACAACGAATCATTGGTTATGAACTTGTGGACCTACCTATTGTTGAAGCTATTTTACGTTGTGTCGTCTTTTTATTTGTGATGTGTTTTATGTTTTGATAAGATGCATGATTTCAATTCCTTTAAAATTTGATGTTGTGACATCACGTCATCTTTTGGGGCATAAAAAAAATGATTGTTTCGAAGTAAAAAGCTGTATAATTTTGTAATGAAATAAAACAATTATACTATATACTTTAATAGTATTGTGATATGTCGAACATGACACATTCTATTGCATTGGAATTTTACATTATGTAATTGTTAAATGTAAAGTTGTCTTTTTGTATATCTTTCGCTTTGATGTTCGACGCACAAGCTTTTCTGTATTTAGTGAGGTTTGATGTCTGAGAAAAAAAAACAGTTGTTAGATGTCAGAAGTGGGATTTGAACCCACGCCCTCTCTCGAAGACCAGAACTTGAGTCTGGCGCCTTAGACCACTCGGCCATCCTGACTTGTGTGTTTTGAACATAGTTTAATAATCACATACTTTGCTTGAACTACAACATTAGCTTTTACATATCATGGAGCTTTCAACCTTTTTTTTAGAAAGACACCTATTTAATCATTATTTATATTACATATTCCAAGCCTTTTCTTAGCTCCGAATCATGTGTCAGAAATTGAGATGTCTTTCAGTTAAAACTTGTACGAAGTATCGATTAGTATAAGTAATGGAATTATAAAAGTAGGAATGTAGGATTATACATGGTATTTTAAAAAAGTAAACCCATTTAGCATTTGACCAATTACCATCAAATGTACATAAACACACCATGGTGGAAAACCATTTACAATAGTCAAAACCACCATCAATCAAATCAAATCAAATCTACCCTAATAAATGAAAATGATTTTGCCACATGTCATTCTCTTATCAAATTAGTCACATGTAATTTTGTTATAATTTTGAGATATATATTTATTTTCCACTTGTAATTGCTTCAATTTTCATTTTCAATCTATCATTAATTTAGTTTCCATAAATTAAACATACCATAATGACTATTAATTTTAAATTTTAAATTTTAAATTTTAAATTCAATTTCAAATAAATTTACAGTTTAAACCTTTATGTTTAACATTTTATTATAATTAACTCGGTTAGTACACTAAACACATAATTTTAATTAGTTTATTTTTTGCATTTTTTTCACATAATTTTCACTTATTTCAATGTCAAATTCAAATAAAATTTCTATTTAATCGTTCGTATTTAACATTTTGTTTTAATTAACCCGTATAATATACGGGTTTCACAACTAGTAAAATAAATATAAAAAAATGCAATACTCATCCATTCTAACGTCAACTTTTCTATTCTTTTTGACACAATTATATATATATATATATATATATATATATATATATATATATATATATATATATATATATAGAGAGAGAGAGAGAGAGAGAGAGAGAGAGAGAGAGATTAAATAACTTCTATATCAATGTTTATAATTGCAATTTTAGTTTTTAATAATTATTACATGTATTTTCCTCTCTATTTATTTGTCATAATCTTTAAAAAATAATTCTTATGATATTTTATGCCATGGTGATCCTATTTGTATGATATTTTTTTTATCATGGTGATAATATTTGTTATTATTAATATTTTGCTATTTATTAATGTCATGGTGGTATTATTTGCATGATATTTCAAGAGTTTTATAATTACTTTGTTTGAACTGTATATATAATTATTATGATTCGAACGCTTTTAAATATTTAAAATTGTTGATAGAAAATTTTCATATTTGTTAATTAACTTAGATAAAAACCAAAATGTCTTTGTCCTTAGCAATTTAGTTATGTGACATCGCTCAATTCAAGTTCCCTTTCGAATATATGTAGAATATGAGTAGATTAGGATTGTATGTTTATGTTTGCCATTTAAAATAATAATAATAATAATAACTTTGTAATAAGCTACTTTTTGTTTATTTATTTAAAACTCTATCATTTTTGCCTATCATAATTATGTGGTTGCGAAAATATCATGTTATTTTAGTTTATAATAAAAAATAAATAAAAATTTAAAAACAAATAAAAATGTCTAACTTTTTTTTTATTATGTATGTTTACTAATAATCATACCTGTCATGCATTAATTTTTAGATTTTAGATAACCGTTGAAAATTGTTTAGAGCAACACAAACAAACATATTTTTATTTTTTGATGATCTAATTTACATTTTATCAAACATAATAGTTATTTAGATATAATTAAGGAGGATAATGATTAGAAAGTTATCAACTATAATTTTATCCCTATCATATATATATATATATATATATATATATATATATATATATATATATATATATATATTATTTGTGTTTCTTTTTCATTTAATTATTGTTTTTTTCTCGATGATTATATATATATATATATATATATATATATATACCAGGCATTCTAAAATTTTAAATTAATTAAAGAAAATGGGAAATATTACAAAAAAAAACAGGTGATCAAAACAGACAAGGTTGTAACAAAAAGAAACAAGGTTGGATGGGAATATGTTTTTTCAATTTGGGTTTTAATTGGTCTATAGGTAGTTTTGGCTTTACAAAAATGGTTTTGACTATATAAATCGGGTGCAATAACACCACTCAAACTAGCCCACGAAAGAGTAGTTTGGATACAGTTGACTACGGTCAATATTTGAAGTCTACTATTTCGTCAATTTGTCTATTGTTTCGTTTTTTGTATAAAAAAATTATTTTGAAGAAATAAAACCGTAGGTTATTTTAAAACCTACGGTTTTCTCTGTATAATTTACTGTTTCCCAAACCGTAGCCTACGGTTTGGGTAAAATCTATGTTTTTTTTTAAACTACAGCATTTTGGGTATAGTCTATGGTTTTGAGTTAAAAAACTACCGTTTTCTAGTTTATTTTTTATTATTTTATTATTATTTTTAATAGAGAGTATTTTTTTAGAAGTATTTAATTTTAAAATATTGTTTATAAAATATAGAGTTGTTTTTTTTTGACAATTATTTTGTTAAAAAATATTCTTTGTAAAATATAAAATAATTTTTTAACAATTAATAGAATAAAATAGTTTTTCTCAAAAAATACTCTATTATAAAAAGAAAAAAAACGTAGGTTTTTTTACCCAAAACCGTAGTTTAAAAAAAAAAAAAAACATAGTTTTTTAACCCAAAACCGTAGGCTACGGTTTGGAAAACTGTAGATTATAGAGACAAAACCGTAGATCTAAAAAAACCTACGATTTTATATCTTCAAAATGATTTTTTTATACAAAACACGAAACAGTAGACGGATTAGCAAAACAGTAGACGGATCTAAAAACCTACGGTTCTTGGGCTATTTTGAGACAATTCCTAATTTTTGGCTAAATATTGTTAATTATTTCGTTAATTTGGCTAGATTAGTAATTAGCCCTATATACATTATGTTGGTAATTAAATAAGTTTTAAGCTGCTTTCAAACGGTAATTATTATTAAGGTGTCAACTATCATCATAATGACGTAATCGAAGAATTCTGCAAATTGCGACTACTTATGCTATTCTCATATGGTATGTCATTATTGTTCACAATCAGCTTCAAACATGCTTCATGTAAGAAATATAATCATGATAAGGTGTCAACTATCATCATAATGTTCAATATTAGAGCCTTTTTCTTAGAGAAAGATTGGTGGTTTAGTTATCCGAATGTCTAGAAGCACTATCATGTTGTACAAAGGAGCTGACAATAAGTATCCTTACTTCATTGTAAAATTGAATGATATTTATGTTGGTGAACCAATGAGTTCATCTACAAACTCTTAAGATGATGGTGTCATGGTGTGCAAGAACACTACTCTATTGGTCCATATGGTGTTCATAAGAAAGCACCAGTTATGGTTTATGGTTGTGGTGGCTGATGGTGGTTGACTAGATACGAGAGCAAAAGAGAAAGGTGTTGGGTTTTACGAATGGATAGGGTTAGGGTAAACTTTATTTATTTAAAACCTCATAAATGGTCCATGAGATATGTAAAAGATGATTTTACCCTCACATGTCTCACATATGTTTAAACTTAACACGAGAAAATATACGATATACAGATGATCCATTAAAAAAATTCAAACAAAAAGACCATCATTAATATTAAAAATTAACAGAGGCTAAGCTTGATATTTGAAAAACCAAAGTTAAAATTATAAAAAAAAAAAGTTAATAAAGATTATATTTATATCTAAAAAACGAGAACGATTAGCATGAACCACAAAATGTGAATTTTTGGGGTGAGGGTGTTAATTCACGTGATTCTGGGGGCATTCCGGTAACACATCCAATTCTCATGGCCCCACTCTTCCCGCACGCACAAATCGTGTGACCTCGCACGTTTGGTTTCATATGCTTCACGCACACCCAATCGCCACCCTCCCTCATCCGTGTCAATTCCTTCACACGAGTGCCGATAACCTAACCCTCGCCGGGAAATCTATTCCTTTCGTAATTTATCCCGCCGGTGCCACCGGCGTCATGTCTCAACGATTCCGTTATGTTTCCGGCGGATGCTGAACTCCGGCGAGCTCACCTCACAAGATCTAACCAGTTGTTAACGTGTTATCTGTGAGTTGTGACGGAGGTGCGAAAACTTGTTTTTTTGTAGCTTTAAGAAGAAGATGGAGAGTTTTGAAGCTTTCACGGTGAGGAAATTTTCAGTTTTTGAGAATTTTGTTGATGCTTTAGTGAAAATGCTTCCGCTTGTTTGAAGTTAAGAAATTGTAAAATTCCTTCGTTTCTCGTTTGAATGTTACTGAATCTAGTTCGTTCTCTCTTTCGAAGTTTTGTTTTTGGTGGGAACTATGCCTTGATGAAAGTCGTGATTTTTCGTTGATAAACACTCGTACTTGACATGTTGGCATGAGAAATGGTGCCAAAATTTCCTACTGTCGAGTATAGAGAATACAAATTATCCAGTTATTGTGTGGTTGAATTTGTTGATTGTGACGATTGAATGAAAATTTGGTGGCATCAGGCAAAGTATTGTACATTGGAAAGGAAATATAAATTTTTACATGTACTTGATTTCCACTAATATCTAATTCATCCATTTTTTGTTGTGCTTTTGCGTGTTCAAAATTGCAATCAGTGGTCGACGGTTTTTAACTGAGTTCTGTATGGATTTCCAGAAAGATTCTGACATTGTTTCATAATCTGTAACCTTGTGAACAGAGCCCGAGGGAGTTCAAAATTGTGTATGCTGCTGATCATGGAGGGATTCTTCTATGCCTAGCATGTTGAAGCATTGATAGTATCCTCCCAGTCTGTGCAGTTTTATGGCAACTGAAATGCAGAGATTTGGGACAAGTGAAGAAGAGGATGAAGAAATGGGATTGGATGTGAAAGAAGAAGGTGAGAATGACGAAGATGATGACGAGAAGAACTCAACACCTCCAACAATGGTAGGTGTTGATGGAGGAGTAATGACATCAAGCAGAAGCAATAACAGGTTTCAACATCAGCAGCAGTTTCAAGATCAGATGACTCCACAAGGAGGTGGTAGAAGGTGTAGACCTATTGAAGAAAAGGAAAGAACAAAGCTTCGTGAGAGACAACGAAGGGCAATTACTGCAAAGATCTTGGCAGGCCTAAGAAGACATGGGAACTACAATCTTAGGGTTAGAGCCGATATTAATGATGTGATTGCAGCTCTGGCTAGGGAAGCTGGTTGGGTTGTTCTTCCTGATGGAACCACCTTTCCATCAAGATCACAGGGTGTGAGACCTGCTGCTGGTGTATCAACTTCATCCACCTCACTACCATTGCAGCAGAACCAAGCTCCTTCTCTAAGAGGCATCTCTTCTGCCTGCCCAATTGAGATGGATAATGAGGCATGCCAAATGAAAGGTTTATTTGTTCCTTCTTCTGCTTATGATGTGTCATCAAGTGGTCGATCTCAGTCTTCTCATATGCTGGGAGTTGAAGTTGATGGTCAAGATGATCCACTGATAGGGGTTTCTGTAGATACTGTTGCAGGCAGGCAGGTTAGAGAAGTATTTCCCTGTTTAATTTCTGATTTCTGTAGTGTTTCCAAAAACCAACAATATCTTTTGCATCTGTTTGTAGGTTGTTGACATGCCTTCAAAGTTACAAGAACGAGATTTTGCGGGTACTCCTTATGTTCCTGTGTATGTGTTGCTTCCTGTAAGTTCCATATTCTTGCAAAAAGGTTAACATATCTCCTCTTGCATTGCATGGTTAAAGGACTTATTACAAATTGGTGTTCGTGCAGTTGGGAGCAGTTAATATGAAGTGTGAAGTTGTAGATCCTGATGGTCTACTGAACCAGTTAAGGGTTTTGAAGTCTATGAATGTTGATGGTGTAATGGTTGATTGCTGGTGGGGTATAGTTGAAGCACATGTTCCACAGGAGTATAACTGGAAGGGGTATAAACGGTTATTTCAAATGGTGCGCGAGCTTAAGCTCAAGTTACAGGTTTGTCCTCTTGGGAGACATTTTGTCTGCTGTTTGTTTGCATTTTTCATGTATTTTGAAAATAAAACAAGTGACCATAATGTAAGTTTGGCTCAGGTAGTGATGTCTTTCCATGAATGTGGAGGCAATGTCGGTGATGATGTTTGCATACCCTTACCACATTGGGTGGCTGAAATTGGGCGGAGCAATCCGGACATATTTTTCACAGATAGATCAGGAAGACGCAACCCGGAATGTCTCTCATTGGGGATTGACAAGGAACGTGTTCTAAGAGGTCGCACTGCTTCAGAGGTACTATTTTCAAATTCTAAATTCTAAAATATTATTATTTATTGGACATGTTATGATGTTGTGAAAAACACAATGAATGTATAGGTCTACTTTGACTACATGAGAAGCTTTCGGGTTGAATTTGACGAGTTCTTTGTAGATGGAGTTATTTCAATGATTGAAATTGGATTGGGTCCATGTGGGGAGCTTCGGTATCCGTCTAATCCTGTGAAACATGGTTGGAGATATCCAGGTGTCGGTGAATTTCAGGTAAAAATAATCACAGGGCATCACAATTACTTGTAAAGTATTTGAAAATTAGTATTTGATGCCTTGAGAGTTTATTATTATTAATATTGTTGTTTTTGTTTTGTATTTCCAAGAAATTGAAAATGTTGATTTTGCAGTGCTACGATCGATACATGTTGAAGAGCCTGACAAAGGCGGCTGAAACAAGGGGACACTCGTTCTGGGGTAGAGGACCAGAAAATGCAGGCTCTTATAATTCTAGGCCTCATGAAACCGGATTCTTTTGCAATGCAGGGGATTATGATGGCTACTATGGTCGCTTCTTTCTTAATTGGTATTCTCAGCTATTGATCAACCATGCTGATCGCCTGCTTTCTTTGGCTAAATTTGCTTTTGAAGGGACTTTCATTACTGCAAAGGTACTCAGTTTTTGGTTACTTTTCTTTTGTTTAAAGAAAGAAAGAAAGAAAGAAAGAAAAAAAGTTAGTAGCTTCCAAAATGAAAATGTCATGTTATATTAATTCCTGAGACCTGAGCCAGCAGCTATCAGGTATTCATTGGTGGTACAAGACATCAAGTCATGCTGCTGAGTTAACTGCTGGCTTTTACAACCCGTCCAATCGTGATGGCTATGCTCCGATTATGGAAGTCTTGAAGAAACACGGGGTTGCCTTAAACTTTACCTTGGCCCACATGAACATCAACATGGACATGGACATGGACTCCTCAGAAGCCCTTGAAGATCCTGATGCTTTAGCCTGGCAAGTAAGTACCTTTTCCTTTTTCTTTGACTTAATGGAAAAGTAGAATGTCTTTGGTAAATAATAAGAATAAAATGAGAGTACATTAATTATTTGCAGGTGATGAATGCTGCATGGGATTCTTGTATAGCTATGACCAGTGAGAACCCACTTCCATGTGTTGATAAAGTAAGCTACAATTATATACTGGAGAAGGCTAAGCCTATGAATGATCCAGATGGGAGGCATTACTCTGCTTTTACTTACCTTAGACTCGGTCAGCTTCTCATGGATCCTCACAATATCATGGAGTTTGAACGATTCGTCAAGAGAATGCATGGTAAACTCACTTCATTGCTTATAGCATCCTACTTTCATTTTCCTCATTGTAAGGCTGTGTAAATTTACCTTTTTACCCTTTGATGATGACACTTTTTTTTTTTTTTTTTTAACAGGGGAGGCGGTTCTTGAGATCCATGCCTAGGTGGATGGAAGCAGAGTGGAGATGTGCATTATTATTATTATTATTATTATTATTATAATATTAAGATTTATATACTAACCAAATCCAAGAGGTGATATTTTTAGTATTACTGTAAATGTGAATACAAGTGTAGAGAAGAAATCCAGGGTCAGGCCATATGAAGATGAAAAAAAAGGTAAATTAATTAGTCTGTTTAGGGTTGATGGTATTTATTTGTGATCATATATTCGATACACTTTAAAGAAATTAAATATCAGATTTTAGCTAATTTCTCATCTTTACTTGATGTCAAATATATATGACACCAAAGTAATATTATAATCTGTTGGTAAAATGTAAATTGTAAAAAGAACATACTTTTGGTCATTTTTATTTTAATAAATTTTTTAATATCAACATTTAAAGGCATATGCTATAAGTTTATAATAAAATAAGGATTTGGCTACGACAAGTTTCATTTTTGATTATAAACTCGTAACATTAACCTATTGGCAATGCAACTTAATCAGTAATGAGTTTACATTCTCTCATTTACATATACAGACTATCAACTTTAACACCGAACCGATTTCAATACTTGCGTTTAGTTTGTTAGTAATCCAACCTTAACCAACGTTTAATTGAAAAAAATAACATCAACATTTATTGAGTGAAACTGCGGGTGAGAGATTAGAAGGCATTTTTTAGTAGTTTGGTGAAACAAAACATTCAATGCCTGTTTATACCGACAAACAAATGGATAGACACCCATTGGACCAAAATAAAAAATAAAAAACCTTTTCCAATGGTTATATGCAAAAACCAGTTTAAACTCAAACTTTGGCTTCAAACAAGGCCGGTTTCAATAGCCGTATGTCTCCAAACTACCTTTTTGCTTGTGCTAATCTAAGTTCTAAAGATTAAAAAAGAAATGGACAACCCACGCCTAATCTTGGTTAGGCCAGGTCACCAATAATCAAAAACAGGTTACCATACCATTGGTTTCGTAAATAGGTCTTAGACCCACCCCTTTCAGGCTTTCACCCACCCAACCATTTATGATTTAAGAAATAACAAATTGAGCAAGCTATAATAATAACTCGACAAGCTATACAAGTACATGAATCTTACAAAAGAATGGTGATTCTGAAAATTCAAAATACATACATATCCCTCTAAAATCTTCAATACCAATCACTCTTCAGCACAGTTTCACCTTTTTCATCTGTGTCAAGAATCCGAGCAGCTAACTCATCCCAGCTTTCTCTCTTTGAGGACCCATGGGCTGAGTCATTCATGCTTTGAGCCTTCCGGAAGGTTCCATATTCACTAGGCAAGTAAGCTTCCGGAATGTCTAGTGCAACCGCTCTCGCTAGTGCCGCCTTGTGTTCCTCACTGTGGTCCATGGCTAAAGACGTACTCCTTTCCATCCTTTGTTGTGTCGGGATATCCATCACATGATCTTTCTCCTTCAATGTCTGAGAACCCAGGGTTAATTGTTGTTTTTAATTTATAAAACTACACAAAATGAGGACTAGGACTTACATCAAGTGCACTTTGAAACTCGCGCTCCATTAAAGCAATGGAATGATCGCTAATTATATGGCATGAGATAACCATGTGCTCAAATCTCCCGTCCACTGGCACAGCTGTTTTCACAGTAGGTGAAATTCTCCCAACCCTGCAAACCAAAAACCAATACTCTCTATGATATGTGACTACCAAGGGCAGATATGTACTTTAGCTTGAAAGGTAATGAGTTTCTGTAACTACCAAGGACAAAAGTGGCTGTTTTCCCTTTTTTTTCATCAAGTCATGTGTCTGGATAAAGTGTTGTATACATAAGATAAGGTATTGTTTCTTTTAAATGTCGAAATAAACCATTCTGAATGAGACTAAATGACCATTTTAGCCTTGCATTCCCGAAAAACAAATTTCACAATATTCATTAATATTCAATCAATTTTGACATGACATGAAAGGGTTGGAAGGAAAATAAAGAATGACAAATAGGTAAAAGCTTTTTTGGCTCAACCAATTAAGTCATTATATCCGGATTAAGTCAAAACAAAATAGTCATGTATACATATCGAATTTTCAACCCATTAAATTCATTAAGTCAAGAAAATTAATCAACTATCTTCCAAATCCATGCAACACTGTTCAAATCATTTGTGTATAAAAAAAAAAGTTTGTGGGACATACACATACCCGAATGGTTTCCTGACAAGAACATGATAAAGGCGACCAGGTGCATATAAACGTCTTGGATCTTGAAGCATGTGCTCTTGCAGTGTGCATGTTTCCTTTAAACAAGTTGCACACAATATGCATGGGAAACTGTTAAAACAAATAACCATCATGATCCAAAACTTGTAAAAAAAAACATATTCATCAAATGAGATGATGATCATATACAGAACTATTGAGGCATAAAGATCGATGCTTGAAAATGAAATAATCCGGAAATGTTACCAAGAACGTACCAAAATAGGAACTTGAAGAGTACTTCCAATGCTACACTTGTTCTAGGCATGAAATCATCCTGGTTCATTGGATTAAAGATTTAAGAGTGTTAGAAACTAACATTATCCTACATCATACGAATCATAGGATTTGTCAAAAAAAAAAAAAAAAAAACAAATCTACAATAAAGACTAAGGGTCATTTCCAATAAAGACTGACCAAGACAAAATTGATGACAATGAGATAAAAATCGAGAAATAAAATATCCTCCTACTTTTCTTCCTAATTATCTTCCTACCCATTTGAAATAATGACAAGTGTCCAAAAATATAATTAGCTTTATTAAAATATAACACATGTCATCCTTTCGTATGGATAGGAAGATATGTAGAAAGAAAAGGTAGGAGGACATTTAATTTCTCTAAAAATCACAATTTTTTGTCCCACACAAAAAGTTAGGACAATGAGTTACTATGAGTATAGATTCTTTCAAATGTGCAAAAGACATGAATACCCTTCTCACCCTATCATCAAAAAAATTACCAATTTATAGCAATGTCATCCAGATACAAAATGTTTACCTGAAGAACAACAGAATTAATGACATCAGCATATCTGACAGCCAAATTCAGCGACACACATCTAGCAGGAGCAATTGCAAAACATCTGATCCTTTTTCGGTCAATATTTCCAATTTTGTCTCTGTTCTTCACCACCAGCATAGTCAACAAAGTAACAACCCCTGCCCCTAAGGAATGTCCAGCAAAAGTCAAAGTATAATCCTCATATTTTTCAACCAATTCTTTCAAAACATCACATTCCGTGTCAAACACCCATTGAGCAGCTTTCAATAACCCATTATGAACATACCCTCCATCAAACTTCGTCTGTCCCAATTTATCATCAAGTAAGAGTAAAAAATCACTTTCTTTTGCCATATTTAAACCGCTAATTAGCAAAAGTATATCTTGATTGTCTTTATCGATGTAAATCATATAAGGCGACACCTTCCCTTGATTTTCGTCGTAATTTTTCTTCAAAACCACGGAATCGGGATTAATTCCATATCCTCCTGGCGGAGCCCAGAGTGGGTTACGGATGTCGAACTCGTAAACGCCTAAAATATATCTACAAATGCGTGGGACAGGTTCGAATTCAGTTGAAGTCGCGAAACCCCAGTTCTCGCTTTCTCGACCGGCGGTGTATAGACATTTCTTCCATGCCCAACGAGCACAACCTAAACAGTAGACGCATTCGAGAATAGGGCACGCACAAACGAGTGACATTTTTTTCTGGAATTAATCTAATAACAACTGATTCTGGAAGTAATCTGTTGGGAATTAATCGAGAAAAAAAAAGGTTGAAGCTTGATGCAGGACTAATGAACTTTCAACTGATTATAATATCTATATGGGCAATGATATAATCAGTTGAGAGTAGAAATTTGAAGAAAAATCACCTGAAATTGCTGATTAAATCAGAAAATTAAAACAGAGTTGGGATTCGATGGAAGTTGGTGTAGAACATTGGGAGTTGATTCGAAGAGTGTATGGGAAACCCTATATGAATTAGGGAAGAACAGTTGCTGTAGCAGGTAGATTCTTATGGGTTCTGGAAAAATCTTGGATTTGGTTTCAATCAGAGAAGAATCTTGACGGGCAGATAGATTCCCTCGAGCATATGCTAACGTTGTGTTATCTCGTTCAAGAAATAATTATTATTTTTGTAGGTGCTGTGGACTATTACAAATACTTTCTTTTATTTTTTCGCTATTTTGAGTGAAGAAAAAGAAAATGATATGTTTTAGTTATTTTTTTCGTGTTTTGAGTGAAGCAAAAGAAAAATGAAAAAGAAAATAAAACATTATACTTTTACACATACTTTCTGTAAATTGAAGTTGTTTATTTAAATAAATGTTTTTTTTTTTCTAGAAAAGCCTTGTGTTATATATAAAAATAAAAGTTATTAATCTAGAATAAAAGTTGTTTGGTAGAAAAAACTTAGTGTTACATATAAAAACATAAGATATTATATATATATATATATATATATATATATATATATATATATATATATATATATATATATATATATATATGGGTATTTTTATATGTATTCATTTTTTTTTCATAACTTTAGGTAAATTAAATCAATTATTTAATGATCAAATAAATATTTATTTTAATGTGATTTCAACAAGGTTCTAAATTGTGTGAGGTATCACGTTACAGCGTTAAGCCTCAAAGTCATGAGATTTATCAAGGATATATATATATATATATATATATATATATATATATATATATATATATATATATATATAAAAGATAAATCATATAATTATAAAATTGTATTAAATTTTAAAAAAATATAGTATCAATATTTTATATGAAAAATTTGACAAACTCAATTATTTAATGCCAAATTAGAAAGAAAAAAAAAAACAAAGTTTTGAAAAACATTCACTCTATAATGTAATAAGATGCATATAGCCACACATTTAGAGCAGGCCTAAAAAAGACTCCTTTTATGTTTCTGGGATGGCTACCTCAAGCATCGACGCCATAACAAACAACATTGAAGCGTTATTTAAAACATCGGATTTCAAGAATGGTACTTTATCTTATATCTAAATTTCATATTATTTTTACCCAACCAATACAATACTGAGTAAATAACAATTTATGTTAAAAGTCACCAACTATTTTCTAAAAAATAGCAAAAAATTAGCAAATTTACCTAAATAACCACAATTTTTGTAGGTCACAATCTATAAAATCTAGGTGACCTGCATTTTCTTTTTAATAAATTTATAGGTTACCAATTACGAAATCTAGTTGGTCTGTGAAAATTTCTGTCAATTGTGAAAATCTGACAGAAACTTAGATTTTTTGAAGAAAAATGTTTTGTTATGTTTAGCTGAACGTAAAAAATTAGAATGCGAACGAAAACAAAAGTTGTTTTTTTTTTTTTTTTGTGAAAATATTTACAATGTACCAACAAGATAAGTATACATAATTGAGGTTTTAGATCGAGCCTAAAATCATCTCCAACCAATATCAAAATTTATCTTTTTACACCAAAATCTAGGGTTTTGAAAATTTATTTGTGCATGCAAACTGTCCAGTAAATCAATATCTTTTTTAAAACAAGTTTTGCAATTTACCAATTTGGCTCCTATATTTTATTCCTCGACTTGTCAAAATTTCATATTCATCCTCGTTGGGTAGTTTTTCTAATGAAGCTGTTTTTTTCTACCCTTAAACCTTTATTTGTTCCCAATTTAGTTCATATGCCATTTAACTTTTAACATGTGACTGTGACCTCCAATTTTTGATTTTGATATTGATTTGTTTTGCGTTAATTTTACTTTGGTTTTATCTTAATTTTATTTTTTGACTCTAAGGTTTACAGTTGCTTGAAAATAAAGATAAAGGGACATTTTTCCAGTTTGTTGAACATAAAAGTTTCCATTTTCTTGAAACAATTCCTCCAAACTCTAGTCTCTAACAAACAATTCAAGAAGCAAAAACTATACACAATTCCACATTCTTAAATCTAATAGAGAAACAATGTGTATTCACAAAATCCAAAAGCAATGATAAAAGCCATACATAAGCATCAAGTGTTTAGATTAAATCATATCCAGCTAGCCTAAATACCTAGAAGCCATGAATTTAGATTTGAAAACAAAAAAAAAAAAAAAAAAAAAGCATATGTAGATTCTCATTCAAACATGAACAAACCTCACGTGAAGCGATCTTGTGAGATGATATTTCTTGTTTTGAAGGCAGGATGGATGATTCCTTTGTTGAAGGAGTCTAGCTTCTCAATTCTTGACATACAATCTTTCATTCTCTTTACAACTGACAACATTGCAGAATCATTGCTAGAAATTTTCTGTTTAATTGTTTCTATCTTTTCAGTGTGTGCCACGTCATCTTCTACTAATGCAACAACACCTTCTTCTGAATCAATCAAGGAGTTAGTTACATAACAAGTCAACACTTACTTCTTACAACTTATGAATAAAATATCAACGTACTTATATAAAGGGTAACACCTGTATCTTGATAACATGATTTGGCCACTTTATTTGTTTATTCCTAACAATGTTTGCACTTCCATTATTGTATATCCAAGTTAGTAATAACTAATAACTAACAAAACGTCGATATGATTCTAATTTGGCAGTTCACATAGATAGATATACAGTATACTCACTGGCATGAAAACTGATCTGAGTTTAGTTGAATAAAAAAGGAATAACACTAATTTACAATCACAAAAACAACTGTTATAAAATTAGCATATGATTCCAATTTAGCAGTTCATATAGATATATGATTGACAGTAATGTTAATACTGTTCATACTGATTAAGGTCTTACTTAAAAAAATGAAGTTTTTATATCATAATCCAAAAAGTAGCAAACTAAGATAGAATTCTTTGTTTATGGAATCGACAACCCCTCTTATTCAATTAAAATATTTATGATAAATTTTAATTTGGTGCTTATGGGGTTTTAGCTTTTAACAAACACCCAGAAGTTGCTAATGTCCACACGGTTTTATCTCTTTAAAATTTTGAGTATGAATTAAAAATATAGTGGAAAAACATAGATTCTTGTTGACCCAAAGATTCCAAACTTCTGGAACCATTACATCAAGACTGTTGACATCCACTGTTCAATATTTACCCAAAAGAAAGTAAAAGATGTTACCATCATCACAGCTTGAAGATATTCTCATAATGTACTTGAGGTCTTGAGCTATGACAAAATATATCCATCTTAAATGTATACCACAATTTAAGTTAGATATGAATTGAGTTTGCCATAAGGAACGTTCCCTAATGACTAATGAGCTTATTTCATTTACTTACAGAAATAGCATTACATAAGATGCAAACATCAGACGAAACCCTAAAACTAACCGGATAATACAAAATACCTATCTTCAGATTCTACCAAAACTGCGCAAGTAACATACTAAGCAGCTAATTAACAGCCCTAAAATGTTAATTATTCGCATGTAAATCACAAATCGCAAGAAGAAAATGAAAGATTACATGTGTACCTTGATTGGCATTACTAGAGGGTCCAGGATCATTATCAGAAAGGTTAAAATTAACAGGTCTCTGAGCAGAAAGAACTGAGGCGAGAGTATTCTGAAGCTGAGCAGGCAATGTCTCTCTAAATTCGGCTATTTTCTGAGCCATAAGGCTCACATCTTCCTCTAATTTATCAAGCTCCTCAATTTCATCGGTGACCTGATGTAGGGCTTCTCCTTCGTGTTGATGCTGCTCCGTCATCTCCAGTTTTTTTCTTTTTGGATCTTCGGATTTCGTTGATGACTTGAGTAGCAGAGTGTAGATGAAATCGAATCAGGTCAGCATTGTGTTCAGTGAGGTGTGTGGCAAAAGGGGGAATAGTGGTTAGGGTTTTGAAATTTTGAATTTTGAAAATTTTAAAACGAAATAAAAGGAAAGGCACGGAGCGTTGATTTTGGACTTTACTTAAAACGAAACCAGGACAAGGATAAAAGACAAGATTTTTTTTCGTTTTTTTCTTGATATTAATTGGATAAGATACCAATGTTTAACGCAAATGGGTCCATAGCTCAGTGGTAGAGCAATTGACTGCAGATCAATAGGTCACCGGTTCGAACCCGGTTGGGCCCTATCCATTTCCCTTTTTAATTTCTCCTTTCACACCACGACAATGAGAAACAAACATGTTCGTTAAAACACCTTCATAATATCTTTAGATAACATTATATCAGAAATCGACCCTTGGACTAAAACTAGAAAGTGTGTAATATATCAATAACATTAAAAAAATTAAAAATTATAAGAGCAAATATCTATATACCACAACCACATGGATTGTTTGACATTAAAATAAAAATTATAAGAGCAAAACCGCTAATTATATATGTTTCTGTTTTTCTAATATTATATATGTTATTCACATTCTATTTTTCTAATACTATATATGTTTTTGTTTTTCCAAAATTAGATATGTGCTTACGCCGACAATAACTCATTTGGTGAATTTGTTTTCTTTTTTTTTTTTTTTTTTTTTTTTTTTTTTTTTTGGAAAATAATTCTCTGGGTTATATATGTTTCTGTTTTCCTAATATTATATATGTTATTCACATTCTATTTTTCTAATACTATATATGTTTTTGTTTTTCTAAAATTAGATATGTGCTGACGCCGACAATAACTCATTTGGTGAATCAGCGCCAACAATAATTCATCTGGTGAATTTTTTTTTTTTTTTTTTTTTTTGGAAAATAATTCTCTGGGTTATATATGTTTCTGTTTTCCTAATATTATATATGTTATTCACATTCTATTTTTCTAATACTATATATGTTTTTGTTTTTCTAAAATTAGATATGTGCTGACGCCGACAATAACTCATTTGGTGAATCGGCGCCAACAATAATTCATTTGGTGAATTTTTTTTTTTTTTTTGGAAAATAATTCTCTGGCATTGTAAGAAATAGACAAAAAATGGGGGTGAATTTCTAAATTTAGTCATAAAATTTGATTTTTCCAGCTATAGACATACATTTCGCGGAAATCCATGGAGGGTCCTCCTCGTAATGTATGTCCATAGCTGGAAAAATCAAATTTTATGACTAAATTTAGAAATTCACCCCCATTTTTTGTCTATTTGTGGTATTTTCCCAAATTTACTATGCTAGAGAATTATTTCCCATAAAAAAAAAAAAAAAAAAACAGTTCATCAAATGAGTTATTTATCGGCGCCGTTTTGCACAAGCACATCTAATTTTAGAAAAACAAAAACATATATAGTATTAGAAAAATAGAATGTGAATAACATAGGACCTCCGGCGGAATGACGTCATATCCGTGGAATGGATCTTGAGGATTTTTTTTTTTTTTTCAAATCGATTCTTCAGGGTGTATATTAATTCTCCAACTAATTATTTTCAAGTAAAGATTATAATAGTATGATAGTTTTTTCTTAGAAATAATTAGTTTGAGAAATGAATATAAACCCCGAAGAATCGATGTGAAAAAAAAAAAAAAAAAATTCATTCCGCGGAGCTACCTCCGAGGAATGAACTAATTCCGCGGAGGTAGCTCCGAGGAATGAATTTTTTTTGTAATACATTGATTTATTTACGATTTTGCCATTTTGCGGAGCTATCTCCGTGGAATGCATGTCTAGATCCGGAAAAATCTATTTTTATATCTATTTTTTGAAAATACCCTATATTTTTTGACTATTTACGGTATTTTCCTGGTAAATTTTATGGTTATATTTTTAAAATAAACAAATAAATTATTAAAAATATTTAGTCTGAAAAACAAACAATCCTAAGAATTCTATCACTCCTTCCTCCATTTACATATATAGATCACCAATTAGTTTTGTTGGAATGATTCAAACTTTTTTTTTTCAACTTGATATAAAGTCTTGTAAGAATTTGATTTAGTGTTGAGTTATCCAATTAGTAAAGAATGATTTTTTTTTTTTTTTTTTTTTTTTTTTTTTTTTTTTTTTGAGTTTCACGTTGAGATTTACCATATTATAATTTTTGGTGTTTGGTTTTCAGTATATATTCTTCTCCTAATCCCATTACATTATATTGTCTACAAATTTGTGTGGTAGGATCTAGGATGTTGTTGTAAACGTGTCGTGTATCAACATCTTGTTTTGGAGATTAAATTTTGTCTTATTGTTTTCTGAATACTAAAAGTTTCACATTTAGAAAACCATTGGGTAAGCTATGTAAAACGACTTATGGAAAGTTGTGACAAATGATAATATATTTAACGGATATTTTCGGCTTCAACATATTTATTTATTTACAACATTGGTCCCTCGACAATACACGTAACATGTAAATAATCATGATTGATACAATAATTTATTTAGAGGAATTAATTATAGCTTGGATTGATACAATAATTTATTTAGAGGAATTAATTATAGCTTGGATGCAGTAGTAGCAGAAATAGAGCTTTGTTTGTTTATTATTTTCCTAACAACTCTCACCTGCATTTCAGACAATATAAGTTGCAAGCAAACACCATAAATTAAAATTACCATAATTAATAACAATTTGGTAGCATTATTTACAAGAGTAAAGTACGTTGCTATTGCTATTGCTATTGCTATTGTTACCTCTCCCTTTCTATTGATGATAATCAATTAATTAATAATGTGTACATTAATTAAGTAGCACCTTTATTCTACAAAAAATAGTGATACTTACCATGTATAGTAACCACTCATCAACTATAAAATCCCTATGTAAAAATTATTTTACTTAAAATACAGACCAAAAATATAACAAAAAACTCAAATAAGGATCAAAAATTGCAAGTGAAAACTTTTTGAGACCAAAACTGGAAGAAAAAAAATCAACTATATTGAGGGTCCAAAAGTTTAAATGATGTATTATTGACTTACGAATGATTTAGGCTAATAACACACCTGTTTATTTGTAAGCTTTCTTGTTTTTACCAAAAATATATTTTTTTTTCAATGTGGGCTCTTGTGAGAAACTTTCATATCGATTTGAAAAAAGATTCCAATTTGGGCTAAATACGGTGAAAGTCAAGCACATGAGCCCTTATGTAATTTACATTAAAGATAATTAGAAGATGTCTATAAAACTCTTTTTTTCATGATATGAAATGACATAACATAACACGTAAATTTCTCATATTTGAAAAAAACCTAAATGCCCTCCGCACCATCATATTATCAAAAAATTGATGGAGGGAAAGAGTCTCTCAACTATGCAAAGCTTAGTAATCTGGAAGCCTACCTTTTGCTCTCAGTCAGTAACTCACACTGCAATATATGTTAGTTTTAAATACAATACAACTAAGAATGAGTCATCTTTTAAAATTAAAAAAATTATAAATTAATGTAATAAATATAAGTAGAAACAACCTTGCAGGGCGTGTAGTGTGGCGGGTATAAATGTTAGGATCCAAAGGTCTGATTTCTGTAGGCCATGGGACAAAAGTTGGAGTAGAAACTTTGCTCCTGTTGATCAATTTCTCCATGATTAACAAGTTAGAAAAGAGAACATAAAAAATTATTTGTGAAAAAGCAGTTAATACCCTCATCATAAAAAAAAATCTCAACTATGGTATTACATGTCAATCCTATTCCACTAGTACCAATAGGCAGGAGCAGAGGGGAATAAACACTACATCTAGGAATTAATAAGACCTGGAAGATTCAACAAGTTCATGGTGTAGTAGTAGTAGTACCGCAACGGTAAATGAACAATTTCTAGGGGAACAAGCTACTCTTCCCATTACGTAGGGAACTTGGACTCCGCCCTATGACTCGGAGGAAGTGATAAAAGGGGATTCAGTCCACTTTATAGAGGGCCGCCTACAGTCGCGTGGGTGATGTTAGGCTTGAATAAATAAGGTAGCCCACTTAATTTCGTTAAGGCTTAAATTGGAGTTGTTCATGCCCTAGGGTAGGCCGGTATGCGACAATCACTTTCTCAAGGAATAGTCTAAGGCTAGTTAGAAAGCCATCTATCGGAAGCAAGGGGAGGGTTTGAGAAATGGAGTTAATTAATAGGTTATGACGGATACCCAACGGGTAAAGGTTCCAAAAAAATGAGAACCAACGGTTCCGAGACGGTTTCGGTTCCGAAAATGGGTACATTATTTAGCTGCTCACCCCTAGTGAGCATTCTTGATAGATAAGATGTTGTCGCATTGTACTCTTGTATATATTCATATTGGTAATCTTTATGTTTTCCTAACCTCCCAACTAGCTAACGTTTTTACAAAAAGATTATCTATTCCTCGGTTTCAAACACTATGCAACAAGTTTCATGTTGCTCCATTGTTTCACTTGCAAGAGATAATAGAATGTATTATGATCAATAATCGATGGAGTTTGTTTAGAACTCCTTTAGTTAGTCATAAACAGTCATAAAGTTTATAATGGATTTCTTATAATAGAGTTGGAAATAATGAAATATATAAGAATTAATTACTCTTAAATAGTTTTTTTTATAAACATATCATAATGTACTCAGTTATAAACTTAAAACTGAGAGTAATGAAAAGTCAATGCAATTTTATTAGCTTCATAGCATCATCTGGTAACTTATTAAATAATAAGATCCCAAAATAGTTTGCAAGCAATGATTATTAACTTGTGTATCTAAAAGCCTATTAAGATACTATTAAACCCTTTAAATTACAAATGAGCATTAAAAATTAATCGGTTGATCATGACAACAACACATAGACGAAGGGAGTGGCATGCAAGCACCCGTAACAAAACCTCGATTTTGGCAAACTTTCTGGCAACCTTTCTTAATCGATGCACAAGGTCCAATGCATGTTGGATTAAGAGCTGAATACAATACATATACAATCAATCAATATGTTTTATTATTATATATAATTACACAAGAAATGAGAAATGAATGAAAGTTGTCATACCTAAACTTGGAACAAATGCCATGCAAAGAACTAGCAACACCAAAATACTCATAGC